CAAGCCTACAGGACAGAGTAGAACTGCCCCGTAGGGTTTCTAAAGTGGTAAATCTTTACACAAGCTGACTGCCACATCTTCCTCCTTTTAGGTGCCGCTTTTAGGTGGGAGCCACTGATCTTTCAGTTAGCTGTCAGGAAGTCAACAACTGCGTCACCAGGGTTCCTTTATTTTTCGTCATAGTACTTATTAACACCTGACATTAAATTGTATATTTGTTGGTGAACTCACTGGAGAACGTAACTCCACGAAGGTCTCCTTAACCTACAGAATCGTACTGCCACGGAATAGGTGCGCAACAACTTTTTTGTTGATTGTTGTTGTTGTTGTTAAGTGCCATCAAGTCGGTTCCGTCCCATAGCGACCCTGTACAGGGTTTCTGAGGCTGTAAATCTTTACGGGAGCAGAAAGCCTCATCTTTCTCCCACGACTGAGTGAAGGAATAGTATTCATTTTTAATATCTTCATAAAAAGAATTCCTAACTGTCTCATTAGCCTTATTACCAAATGATATTTATCAAGCCCAGAATGCTAACAGGTAGTGATGTGACTCACTGAAGATGTGAAACAAAATAGAAATATTCTTCTTGGGGGAAAAGTCTAAGACATCTTTCTCCTGGTAAAAATGACAAGACAGTTAATATCTAACATATTCATGGTACAAAAGATACCAGAGTTTTTTCGTTCTTGTTTTAAACATCCTTATGCTTTTAACATCTGTCCCCCGCCCTACCTCAACTCTGTATTTTCTTGAGATTAACTTTCACTTAATTGTTTCATCAAACAAATATTTCTTTCACACTTACAATGGGTCAGGCACTGTGCTAGGCCCTAGAACCACTGGGATCACCAACACTGAACAAGGGATGACTAATTCCAGGCAGGAAGAAAACAAAATCCCTAAGAGGGATTTTTAAAAATAGTTTCAAAGCCAAAAGTAATCTGGAATAGAAATGGATCATGAAAATGTTAATGTTATAATTCAAAATTCTGGCAACATAGTTTATTATGATGCATCTAGATAACATACGACACGGGAATGGTTTCTATTCTTCTCGGGCCATGGTTTTTTAAATTTTATAGTAACAAATCAGGGAAACTATTGTGACAGCAAATTGGCTATTTTCCTGAGACATAATTGAGCAGTAGAATGGCCTCGCTGTAACCTCTCTGCTTTATCCATAGGACAGTGCAGTGATAAATAGATTCTGCTTCTTTAAGTTCAAGTAAGTTCCCCATTTTGCTTCCTTATGAAAGTGTAGTATTATCCACATTTCTCTTAGTAGTGTAACTACAAATTTAAGAGGCCAAAAAAAATGCCAGGCTCCAGAATTTCATAGTGTTATGTGATGATAATATTGACTATTATATCTTTATATGCATGACATGTATACTAGGATTATTAGATTAATAACATATCCACTCATTTTTTTTTTTAATTCTGTGTGAGAAGCGGAGATAAAGGAAGCCAAAGTGAAATGACTGCACCTGTTATCTCAGTATTTGGCATTCAACAAGCTAAATCCCCAGGAAGCCAGATTAGTAGATGACAGAAAAAAATGCATTATCATCTTCGACATGCTAATATACATGGGTGCTGAATATTCAATTGAAAAGGGACTGGCTTATTAGGTTGTGGCATGCTGCAATTTACATATCTCATCCTCCAGATGTCAGGAGGGTAAATGGGGATGGAGATCAGCAGGGGCTAAAGAGGGAAATATGTGCATGGACTGTGGCAATCAATTTGGTCAACTAAAGTAAAAAGTAACAGTAAAATGACTGACTTTTATTTCTCCTAAAATAGATCTGGAATCCTGTGTGGTGCTGTAAGAAAAGCACTGGGCTGCTAACCACAAGGTCGGTGGCTCAAACTCACCAGCCACTCCTTGGAAACCCAACACAGAGTTGCTATGTGGTGAAACCGACCCAACGGCACTTCATAACAATAAAGACAACAAAATAGATCTGGCTCTTGTTATTCTCTGGTTACATCCTGGGGCAGCCCTGAGGATAGCACGTCTCACCCAAGTTGGGTGTTCTGTGCAGGGAACATAGATGCTGACCCACTAGGAGATCACTGAGCACAGGACTCTGCTGAGGATGCAAGGATAGCAGAAGCCTTGTATCCATCCACTTCTCCACTTGCAATTGAGTGGGGCTGTCAGTTAGGACAGGGTCTCTACCAGATATTGGGTAGTGGGGGTATGCCACTGTGGCCATTGTTGGAGCTGACACTGTGACCAGTATTTGGATCTTGTATCTCTTTCTTAAACTAGTTAGAATATGGGGAGAAGAGATGTAATCAACTAGGGACCCAACTTCCAACGAACTATAATTGTTCTCACTTGCCTCAGCTCATGGCATCTGAACCACAACTTTTTCTTTTTAGTGTCTCTCCAGCTGTACTGGACCAATAAACAACACCATGATAAATGGAGCTAAGATTGAAATGGTCAGGGAATACATTTTACTTGGATCCAAAATCAAGGCATACAGAAGCAGTAGTCAGAAAATCAGGCAACACACTGACAAAACTAATGACAGGACCTTCCCAAAATGCCCAACAGACTTAGGCAGTCCGCAAAAGCAGAAAACAACTTCATCTTTAGGAAAATGAATTCTCAATATTTTATTATAGCTCATATGTTATACTCAAGTCTAATATCAAATATTAATGTACTCAAAATGTAAGTTAAATTTCTCCTACCTTGCTGCCATTGCATCAACTCCAACTCCTAGTGACCCTGTATGGTAAACTAGAACTACCCCCCAGGATTCCCAAGGCTGTAAACTTTATAGATGCAGACTGCTACATGTGTCTCTTGAGGAGTGGCGAGTGGGTTCAAACCAGTGATTGCTCAGTTAGCAGCTGAGCACTTTAACCACTATGCTACCAGGATTACTCAATCATTGTGGTTGTTAGGTGCCTTTGAATAGTGGCCTTATGTACAACAGAACAAAATACTGCCTTCTTCTGTGCCAAGCTCACAATTGCTGCTATGCTTGAGCCCACTGCTGCCACCACTGGGCCAAGTGATCTCGTTGGGGGTCTTCCTCTTTTGTGCTGACCCTTCACTTTACCAAGCACAATGTCCTTCTCCAGGGACTGGTACTTCCTGATAATACGTCCTAAGTATGAGAGACGAAGTCTCATCATCCTGACTACTAAGGAACATTCTGGCTGTATTTCTTCCAACACAGATTTGTTTGTTCTTCTAGCAGTTCATGGTACTTTCAATATTCTAGCCCAACACCATACCTCAAATGCATCAATTCTTCTACGGTCTTCCTTATTCATTGCTAATCATTATTCCCTCTTGATGGCTACTCATACATGCTTGTAGTCTTTATAACTTTCAAATATTTAGAAGAAACAGTATGTCAACACTTAATTAATTTTCTGAATCTGCTGTTGTTTCCCAATAGATGTGTATGTTGGATAAATGAAATATTAAAATGCAGTTAAAAAGCTAAAACTCAGACCAATAGCCACAGCATCAAGCCAAGTAATAATCCTCAGGGTGAATGTTAGCATTTCAGATTTATAAAGAAAATACAAATATACCTAACATACATTTCAGTGATTTTTTTGCTCTAGACATATTACATGCTGTCGAGTTGGTTCCGACTTATTCTGTATAGGACTTATATTTAGCTTTGGACTATGTTTTTGTTGTTTGAAGTGCTGTCCAGTCAGTTTCAATAGGTTTCTGAGGTGTGTGGTTTTGAACTGCTGACGTTGTGGTTAGCAGACCTGTGTTTATATTACAGAGCTACAGTAGGACTCTAACTTTGGACTATGTTGTTGTTAAAGTGCCATCAAGTCTGTTCGACTCATAGCAACCCTAAATAGGGTTTCTGAGGAGTGGCAGATGAGTATGAAATGCTGACCTTGCAGTTCAAACTGACCTTACAGTTCAGTGCTTATCCTACAGCACCACACCAGGACTCTGCTTTGGACTATGAGTATTTAAAACACATACAAAGAAAACAGAATACTACAAGTCCCAATGTATTCCTCACCCAGATGCAGCAATTATTAACATACTCTCATGCTGGCTTCATCTGTTCCTTTACCTACTTCTCACTCTGTTATTAGGAGCTTTACATTTTCACTCTAGTACATTTTCTGGAAAGGAGCTCTGGTAGCGTAGTGGTTACAAATTGGGCTGCGAACCACAAGGTCAGCAATTCAAAGCTACCAGCTGTTCCATGGGAGAAAGATGAGGCTTTCTGCTCCCGTAAAGATTTACAGCCTCAGAAACCCTGTACAGGGTCGCTATGAGTCAGAACCGACTCCACGGCACATAACCACCACCACCACATTTTCTGGAGAGCAGCAGTCTTACTCTAATGGGATTTCTAACTACTCACTACAATGATACAGGCTGGGCAGACCACATGAAATCCTCAATCCCTGCTGTCTAGAAAGGCAGCACTAGTAGGAGGAATACGGGTAACGATACGAAGAGCAGCTAATAAACACTAGTGTGTAGGAGAAAGGAGACTAGGCTAGCTCTCTTGAACTCCACTATGGAGCAATACAAATAAGCACGCATGTTATAAACATATAAATAAATTGACAAGGTATTAAGCCTATTTAAGTCTTATTTTCTGCTGTTACTGGTAAAAACCCTTTCCTCTCCCCCTCAAATTCTAGCTATGTAGTGCTGTGGGTTAATGCACTGGACTGCAAAGTTGGTTTCAACTGCAAGGTCAGCGGTTCAAACTCACCAGCCACTCCTCAGAAACCCTATACGGGTTGCTACAGGTCTGAACCAATTTAAAGGCACTTAGCAGCAACAACAACTTAAAAGAGGTTCTTTTCCTCATCTCCAGAGGGGTACCATCCCCTCTTCTCACTCATCCCATCCCTCCTCCCACCACCACCACCATCATCACCACAATCTCCATGAATGCCAGAACTGAAAACTGCAGGTGACACATATTCAACCAACAAGGACCTGGCACCCCTTTCTTGCCAGCACTGCTGTTACCTTGTTTTCCTCTGGAGTGAAGAGGATTCGGAATGTGGATGGCACTCCAGGTGCTACTTTGTGGCCTATGTCTTTGGGGCTGATTACTTTAAAGTAAGGTGAACTTTCCTCAATGACTTTGACCATCCTTGGAATCTGCAAGTAAAACACATCATGATGGACATTATACATGTGGGAAAGAAGAAGAAAACGCACAGGAGTGGGAGCTAAACATAGACTACCCATTCGTCCTTGGTCAGGCCTGAACTTCAGTTTCCTCAACTGTAAAGGGAGACGACAGTATCTATCTTTGGCCCAGTGTCCCACACAAAGTCAGCACGTGATACATTTTAGCACTGATCTTTATTAACATTAGTGTTATCACTCATTTTTAGTAGTATTGAAAATCTTTGTTCATTTTATTATTTAAATTGAGCTATCTTCAAAGACTAACTGCTTTCATTGGCTAAAAATCCCACTCACAGAGAGGACTTCATCTGGATTTCCCAGCGTCTGAGAACTGCTCTGAGAGAAGAATCCTCATGGACTGCACAGCTCCTATGGTCCACCCACTGTCCCAGTGTGCCACTGAGTCCTCAAAATAACCCTCGTGCTTCACTACGATTCCCATTCTATGATGAAGAAGTGGGAGTCTTCCTAGCTGTACCTGGCCCACCTCTCTGTGGGTTGTCTTAACTAAATACCACCAGGAAGAAAGAACAAAGACAGAGCAGTACAGTATTGCCAAGGCCAGACTCCTCGGGCAGCTTCAAACAGTTTCATTCTTTTAAAATCTCTCTTTCCCTGCTCTGCTTTCTTAACCCAGAGCTACGCATCCCTCAGATAGTTCCTGCAATAAAGGAGATGCAATTATCAGAAGAGGGTGGTCTGCATGGAGAGTTCAAGGGCATTGGGAAGGGGGATAGATTTTTTTTTTTCTTTTTCTTTTTTTAAAGGAAAAGATCCTAAGAGGCAGAAGAGCAGCAGCCATAAAATGAACAAGAAGTTACATATGAAAAATGAGGAAAAAAGAACTGCCTCAGCCTCTCAAGGCTGTAACTCAGGTAGGAGAGAGAAGAAGAAATGCAGGAAAGAATCCCAGGGGAGACCATCATAAAGACTGAGGGGAGGCAGAGATATGTTCCGATCTAATAGGAATGGAATGGACTTGCTGGGAAGATGTACTGAATGAAGCTGTGTAATATTTTGAACAAACGTGCCCTTGTCAATTAGAAACTAGAAAGGAAGGCAGCAACCAGCACTACAACAGCAATAATAATACACCCACTCCTCAGCTTTGACATGGTTAGGGCCCACAGAACAGGACAGTATACGAAAACTGACATTATATGAAAATGGAGAATGAA